CATTGCGATTCTTGCCGATAGTCAGGAAGAATGTTCCATGATGGGTACTTATAAGGATGATACTGCCGATTCACTATGTCCTCCTAGAGTTCGTGCAATGTTGGCATTACGTGCCTGCAAATCATCTATTGTTATTGGAGATCCACTTGGGAGAAATGAGATGCAAAAGGTATTTTTGTCTATTTTACCGTGGTCTTGAAATTTATGCTCATATCATAGTATCTTTGGTATCATCCTCTCTGCGTTGCACTTCTGCAATTGTCTAGCTTAATATAGAAGGGAAAAATGGTAAAAAGAATTTTGGCCAAATACTATTTCTAGTTTCGAAGTGTTTGTTTGATAGTTTATGCCAAAAAAGCTTTATTTTTTCTCCAAAACTTTGGAAAACATTTCATATTTCTTAAAACTTGCTTGAGAACAACTATTAGGAGTTTTTGGCCAAAAATTGTTCTTCTTCCCTCTGGTTGCTTCATGACCCGAGATATAAAATTTATTGTTTCAGATACTTGAAAATCTATCACGACTCAAGTCTCCGTGGAATTGTCCACATGGTAGACCAACAATGCGTCACTTGGTTGATCTGAGGACTGTACATAGAAGAATAGAAGCAGATGAGAATGAGACCGCCTTATAAACTCCAGTTGGTAACACAACCACCAAACTGAAGCGGGTACTTCTTTCTATAAATTATTGGAAACATGTAAATCAAGGCTGCATTTTGCCTAGAATTATCAAAATGTCGAGGAATTAATTGAGAACACAGAAAGGGGTCTTTTGCTTTCCATCTACTTCGTTTTATACGTTCCTTTTTTTCGTTTTTGTTTAAAGAGCGATCTTTAGTACTTACCTTTCTTGCAAACACTTTATCTTGTTCCTTTGACTGTGTTTATTTCTTTTTTTGTTCGAATTTCTCCATTTCCACAATGAGCAGGAGGTTTAATTAACCGATTGAGTGGATTCTCAAGTTACACTTCCTTGAAATGCGCAAGTATGGAAGGTTTAAATACTGTGCCAACAATTGCTTGCCAGAAAGAGAATTTATTGCGTCGACAGTCAGATGAAGAGTCAATGAACCAAAGCCTTGATCTTAAATTAATTAAAATTTGTTAAGAAACTTAGCTCAAAGCAATAATATAAAACAAGAAAATAGACAAGAATGTAGGGAGCAGGAAATGAGAGATTCTTATTGAAATATGTACAATGTGATGCCCAAACCCTCTATTTATAGGATGATATTTAAGTAATACAAATGGATGTTATGGTAAATTTTGAGATAATGGGGAAAGATGATAGAGGGGGTTATGGAGGTGTGAGAGTTATAACCATAATGGTAAGAAGTAGTGGGAGGTTAATATAGAAGATTAACGGGAGTAACTTCTTTAGGAGTTATAGACATCTACTACATAATATAATATTTCATAACACTCCCCATTGGATGTCTATAGATAATGTGCCTCGTTAAAACATTACTAAGAAAAAACCCTGTGGGAAAAAATTTTAGTGAAGGAAAAAGAGTACACATATCTTGTAATACACATTATGTTACATCTCGCATTTCGTACGTTAAAGTTTCGTCTTCAGTTAATTGACATAAACTAGGGGATGAGATTATCTTGCGGTTAGCATATTTATGCTATTTATAACAAGCAATAACTGCCATGAAGGAAAAGGCACACGAATTAAAGAAAATGAGTTTCCTTGAAGGTTGTCGAATTTGGATAAAATACAGTCCGAGCTATAATACCCGATACTTATGGATTAGTACCATACAAGGTATCATATGACCACAATAGTATGATGTATAAGGTGTATTAAAAATGAGTAGTATTTTAAGTAAGTTGAGACAATTCTTAATTATGTGGGTAATTGGTTAATTATTGGGTAATGTGATATTACCTAATTAATTAGGGATATATGTGATAATGACTAAATGTGGCAACCCCTCCATTTAAAATAAGTGACTAATGATCTTAATTGAAAGGTGGCATCATAAGTGAATACGTGTAAGTCATGTAGTATTTGGCTTCATTGGATTTAAAGAAACAAAGTAAGAGATCTTATAACATTTTTCCTAATTCAAACATTTCAAACCGACGTCCCTCAATCTAGCAAGTTTCTGTAAGAAATCTTATAACACCTTCCTAATTCAAACTTTCAAACATACGCTATAATCTAGCAAGTTTCAACAAAATTTCTTGCAACAAAACAATTCCAACAAGAATTATTGAAATCATAGCAACGTAAAATTTTGCGGTTCTAAAGGAGTACAGTGCAACCTTTTTCAAGAATATCATACGGATTTTCCCCTCCTCCAAGTATGTTAAGGCTAAGCCCTTTCTTCATTTTGGCATGATCTCGTAATTACACGAGTTTGATAATGAGGCATAAAGAAAAATTCATATCCCGAAATTTACGTATATTTTTCTAGTCTTGTAAGTTACAATATTCTCCTTATCAGGACTTCATATTCAATTGAGTATTTCTTTTTTTTTGTTTGATAATGAGGCATAAAGAAAAATTCATATCCCGAAATTTACGTATATTTTTCTAGTCTTGTAAGTTACAATATTCTCCTAATCAGGACTTCATATTCAATTGAGTATTTCTTTTTTTTCAGTCATGAGAGCAGAGAATTTATTTATACAGTATTACAGTATTTTCATTACCATTGAGCTATAATGATGGGCAGGCCCCTATTGGGCAACCTTTGATTAGATGGTAAGTTATATACCGAGCCTACTGTGGCTGAGCGTCTATGAGCGAGCCCAGTTGGTCGAGATACAAAGCCTAATATGGCCGAGTGCCTATGAGCGAGCCTACTATGGCAGAGCAGTTATATATATATATATATANATAGACGGGTAGACCCCCTCAGTAGGTGTTGCCCGAGTTCAACTTTATTGGTAAGCTCCCTGTCCTTCGGAGTTGCTGAGTCTATAAGTTTTGTGTATATCTTGTATATGTATGTAGATAGGTTATGGGTAGGTCGGGGCCCTGTTCCAATCACCGTACATCCATCAGTAGAGGCTTGTAGACATATCCTGTCAGTTAGTGCAGTATGTTGGGCTTGTAGGCCCTGTACGTATATTTTGTTAGCTTGTCAGTTATAGTAGTTATGACGGCCTTGCTGGCCCAGCTTTATGTTGACATTTAGTCAGCGTTAGTCTGTATTCAGTTTTATATTTTGTTCGCAAATTGTCTTGCAATGTGGCCCCTGGCCAAAGTATGACATTATATGTCCAGAATTCTTGAGTCGCAAGTTGGTACGCAAGGATAGATGAGGCATCGGGTGTCGGTTTTGCCCCCAGGCTTGGGGCGTGATAAAAGTGATATCAGAGCAGTTCTTTCCTAGGGAGTTTACAAGCCGTGTCTAGTAGGGTCTTGTTTATAGATGTGTGGTGCACCACATTATATAAGTAGGGGACTACAAGGCATTTAGGCGTGGTTACCCTTCTTTCAAATCTAAATCGTGTTGTAGAATTGAGTTATAGGAAATTTGAGTTAAACTTACGTGTTGGCGTTGCATGCACAAATGACTATAACTAGGAAGGCTTCGACTAGCTAGAGGAGAGAGACAACAGTAGGTGAGGGGACGAACAGGGTACCCCTAGTAGATGGGGACCAATCGGAGGCCTAGGGAGAGACCCCTACTCAGCCATTACCGGCTTCTCCGCCACCTGAGGAGATTCCTAGGGAGACCGTACATCCAGTTCTCCCTCCGCTTCCATCAGATCAGGACTTGAGGAGAGCGGTGCATTTGTTGGCACAGTTGGTAGCTACCCAGCAACAAGCTAGGGCATCTACTAGTGCAGGACCTTCTGAGGGATCTGAGAGTTCAAGGGTCCGAGAGTTTATTGCTTTGGGTCCCCCAGAGTTCACTGGGACAGATCAGAGGTATGACTCGCAGGATTTCATAGATCAGCTTCACAGGATCTTTCGGGTTATGCATGCCACGGAGAAAGAGGCAGTTGAGCTAGTAGTTTTTTATCTCAAAGATATAGCCATCCTTTGGTACGATGGATGGGAAAGATCCAGGGGACGTGATGCACCTCTCGCTATTTGGAAGAATTTTTCAGATGCCTTCCTTGACCAGTGCTTACCGCGGGAGATCCGATAGGCTCGAGTCGATCGGCTTCTAGCCCTCAGGCAGGGCAATATGAGTGTTCGAGAGTATAGTCTCCGTTTTGACTCACTGGCCAGATATGCACCATCCATAGTTGCTACTATGCGGGACAAGATCCACAAGATTATAGCAGGGTTGGCCCCAGAGTTGACCGAGGCATATGCCACCGCTGCATTACAGGATAGTATGGATATCTCCGGATTCATGCTTTTGCCTAGAATATAGAAAGGGGTAGGCGTCGGCAGCAGGGTACGAAGAGGATTGAGTCAGGGCAATGTGAGAGGATAAGATTTGCCAGATCTCAGGAGCAGTCTCAGGGTAGTTATAGGCCCCAGTACTTTGAACGGCCACCTAGACCTCCGCCACCTCAGTCACAGGGTTACATGTATAACCATTATATTCAGTCAGGACCAGGTGAGAGCCCCCAGGCGTCAAGTTTGCAGCGACAATGAGGTTCGGGGTAGATATGGTCATTTTCGCCGCGGTGTGCCATCTGTGGTAGAGGACACTTGGGCCAATGCCGAGCCGGTTTAGATGCTTGTTATACATGTGGACGTCCGGGGCATATGATGCGAGATTGCCCAAATAGAGATTNGGGGTGTCGCAACCAGCGAATTCAGCAATAGGATCATCTATGTCCGTGCATCCTTCAGGGCGCAAGTCTCAGTCTTCGACTGGTAGAGGTCGAGGCAGAGGTTCCAGTTCAGGTGGTAACCAGAATCGTAGCTATGAGTTAGCGGGTCGACATGACCAGGAGTTTTCACCAGATGTTGTGACAGGTATGTTGACCATTTGCTCTCTTGATGCTTATACCTTGATAGACCCAGGATCTACTTTATCGTGTATTACCCCATTTGTTGCGGGGAAATTTGGTATAGTGCCTGAAATACTAAGTGATCCTTTTGCGGTATCTACACCGATCGGAGAATCTATTATTGCTAGACGGGTTTACCGAGGTTGTACGGTGTTAGTTTGTGGTCGTCAGACCTCAGCCGACCTAGTTGAGCTAGAGATGTTGGATTTTGATGCTATCATGGGCATGGACTGGTTGGCAGCTTGCTATGACACAGTTGATTGTCGAGCAAAGATAGATAGATTTCATTTTCCGGGTGAGCCTGTCCTTGAATGGGTAGGTAATACAGCGACACCTAGAGGTAGGTTTATTTCCTATCTGAAGGCGAGGAAAATGATCGCAAAAGGGTGCATTTATCATATTATGCAAGTTAAAGATGCAGATGCTGAGATACCTACACTTCAGTCTATTACAGTAGTCAAAGAGTACACAGATGTATTTCCAGATGAACTTCTAGGTATTCCTCCAGAGCGAGAAATTGATTTTGGCATCGATTTGCTTCGGGGAATGCAACCAATATCCATCCCTCTGTATAGAATGACACCTGCCGAATTGAAGGAGTTGAAGGAGCAGTTAAAAGATTTGCTGGAGAAAGGTTTCATTAAACCCAGTACCTCACCTTGGGGTGTATCGGTACTATTTGTACGGAAGAAAGACGGCTCGCTGAGGATGCGTATCGATTATAGGCAACTGAACAAGGTAACTGTTAAGAATAAGTATCCACTTCCAAGGATAGACGACTTGTTTGATCAGTTGCAGGGAGCTAGATGCTTTTCAAAGATAGATTTGAGGTCGGGTTACCACCAGGTCAGAGTTCGGGAGAAAAATATTCCCAAGACAGCTTTCATGACCCGATATGGCCACTT